AACTGGGAAAATAATTATATGTATATTTAATTTTTTTTCCATATATAAGCCTTGTTTGCCTTTTTCCATCATTAATGGAAATAAAGTCACCTGAACTCACTCTCTCTATAATATATATATATATATATATATATATATATATATACATATATATATATAGATAGATAGATAGATAGATAGATAGATAGAGTTTTTTTTACTATTTTTATTTAGCAAGGACACAATGAATTTATCAAAAGTGACAGTAAAGACATTTCAAGTGTTAAAGTGTTTCTGTTTCAAATAAATGCCATTCTTTTTAACTTTTTAGCTACTAAAAACCATAATTTTTTTTTGAAGGATCATGTGACACTGAAGACTGAAGTAATGATGCTGAAAATTCAGCTTTTCATCACAGAAATAAATTACATTTAATAAAATTGAAACCGGTTATTCTAAATGGAAATAATGTTTCACAATATTACTGTATTTCTGATTAAATTAATGTAGACCCAAAAAGTTCTCAAAACTGGTTGCTTCTCAATACTTGGGGCTACGTCTACACTAATCCGGATAAATTTGAGTTTTCGTTTAAAAACGCTCCGCGCCTACACTATCATTTTCAACCGATTTCCAAAAGTTGCTCATTCACGCTGAAACATCTCAAAAACGCTACATCCCCATACTACGCATGAGTAAATCCTAAGGCGTTTCAACCAGGGTCATTTCCGCAAGGCGTTTATTTACTTTCCGGCTCTTTGAAACTTTGTGGCAATGTCGAGGAAAGGCACCAAGTTTTTTAAATGGGTATGTACAAACTGACATTAAGGCTGTTAAACGGAGAGCATCCAAAAACAACTGCTGTACAATGTCCTCACCATCTTGGCTGAATTGGACATCACATGGCTAAAAACGCGTCACCATATTCAAAAACCTCCGTTTTCACAGTCCACACTACGACACAAAGACAGCATTTTTTAATTTTTCTGCTTTGGAGAGCTTTTCCAAAAGCGACATTTCCGTTGATTTAAAATGCCGTCTCAGTGTCGACAGAAGGCCAAAACGGGTAGAAAAATATGTTTTCAAACGAAAAAAGTCATTTAGGTTGTAATGCCCTAACACCACTGCATCTTTAGCCAGACAGCTAAAAACATACTTTTGGGCGGAGCCATACCCAGGTAGCATAATCACAGTCTTTTAATAGACAGGAATCGGGTACTGATGGGCTGTCACACTACTATGACCAGCTTAAATATGGCCAGCTTTACCATCCCTCATAAACACCTGAGCTCCACCTGCTTCCCCTTTCATTTTGGGAAAAACCTGATGGAAACAGTAACAGGAGTTACTCTTATGACATCTTACTTACATCGACCTATCTCAGGAGAGTGAACTGAACTACAGAGCAAAGTGCTGTAAATCAACTGAACAGACGATTTCTTTCCGGTAAAACAACAAATTATATACTTACACTGACTATCTGACTTGATTAATGAATTTCCTCTATATTGGTTGGCAGGGCACTTTTGTAAGTGTCTTTTGGAAAAGAGAATCTGCTAAATGCCTTAAATGTAAATGATGTGGATCAATTTAAACATGAGCTGTTTGTTATATAGTGCATTGTCAGTTTTTTAAGGTCTAATTGTAGTTGACAATAATTTAACCAATGGAAACTACTACTCTTGACATAATTGTATTCAAAAGTGTTTCAACAACATTTATAATAATAAATATTGTAAGGCCTGGTCAAATGGCCCAACATCAGTTTCCAGTAGAGCAGGTAAAAGATACCTGCGCGTTCGGTCTATTCAGTGTGACAAAATAATAGCATGACTTCGTCATACGCATATTCTAGTCAGAATGTGAGTCTGATACTGCTCCATTGGGCTTTGATTATGAGGCGTGTCGTAAAGGTACTATATGTAACTTTTTTTCTAAAATTAATCCTTTTTTATTGTATGTGTGCAAAAGGTTTGTAATCACACATTACAATGATGTGAAGTCTTCAGGTCAGATTTTCTGCAAAATCTATCGGATTTGACGTGCGTGCTCCATAAAACTCCTGCCTCCAGCACAACACACACTCCAACACAAACTCCACATAATATATATATATATAAAAAATGTATAAGCTCGTCAGGTGTAACGTTGTAATGACAGAAGTAATAAAAGAAGATGCAATTTCATAAAAAAAACAGATTTATCACGTACAGAAATGATGGTTATGGAAAAACACAGACCAAAGCACAGATACTGGTATCCGCGTCCCCTCCGTCTCGAGTCCAGAATACGATTGATTGAATATGTGGGTTCCCCATCTATGAGTCGCGGTGGTGTGGGACTGTAGGATTAAGGTGAGAACGAAAACCAGGCTTTAATTTGGAAACATGAAAGGCGGGGTGAATTCTCCTGTACGCAGAAGGAAGTTTGAGGCGGACTGTCGCCGAACTAATGATCTTGGTGACAGTAAATGGGCCAATGAATTTAGGAGCTACTTTATTAGACACGGAGCGGAGCCGAATGTTCTTGATAGAAAGCCACACTTTTTGACCTATGATGTATATAGGTCAGCAATCGGCTTTAGCCTTGGTGCGCGCCCCCACCAGGAGCAGAGGCTCATGGGCTCTGGTCCATGTGCGGTGGCACCTCTGGACGAAGGCGTGAGCGGAGGGAACCGCGACTTCAGATTCCAGGCTAGAAAAAACTGGTTACTGTTAACCTTAATTTCATGGGCACGTTAGACCGATTCATCAACTCCTCCTGCAAGACAGAACTGGAAACTGAAGAACAGGCAGACATTAAAAAAGACGCATAACATCAGGTGCTCCAAGCAGACACAGAATTATGGCCCCAGTCAACCCGGGGATTATGCGGAAGAGCCAGGAATGACCGAGGACCACCGGAGTATGAGCAGAGTCCAGGAGTAGAAATGACAGTTCCTCTGTGTGGTTGCCTGAGGTTATAAGTGTCAGATGATCAGTGGTGAGTCAGTGTAATGACTGGTAGTTATTGTCCATTGAGTGCGTTGACGGAAATGGGGTTTGTGAGTGGTGTGATGGGAATTTGCAGCTTACGTGCTAAAGATAAATCGATGAAATTCCTCTCGGACCCAGAATCCAGAAGTGCTTGACAGTTGTAGAATCGGGTTGCCCATTGCAGTCTCACTGGGAGGAGAGTGGAGGAGGTCTTGCTGCCTCCTGCTTACTGCCGAGCCCAATCTTTTACTGGACAGGTGTTGATGAAATGACCCAAACCGCCGCAGTATAGGTTCGAACAGCCAAGCTCTACCCACCTGCATGGGCTCATGGTCGAAGTTGGGGCTGACCGTTCCCTGCCACTGGCTCGAGAGAGTCCGAAGGTCTCTGGAATCAGGGTCCTGCGGGAATGCTGTTCTACATGCTGTAAGCGGACGGCAAACACATCTTTCCAATTGACAAATGCCTTGATTGCAGAGCTGTTCGCCTTTTAAAATTAATGCGTTGTCAATTTCTTTTACAACAAACGCGATAGCGGAATCTATACATCTCAATTCTAAAGCTGCAGTCATCTCTGAGAGAAACCAGTTAAACCCAAGTGGTCTTTGATAAAGTGATTACATAACAGCAGATCATTTGTCCATCATCGTATAAAGCCCACCCAGACCAGACGATTTCTGAACCGATAATAATTACTCCTCAATGGATCGAGTCCAGACCAAACTTCCCGACCAAAAAATGTTGTGGGTGGGATTCGGGCTGGCATTCAGGCTATCAAAATGGTTTAAAGGAGAACTCTGGCCAATTTTAACATGGAGTTAATTTATTTGTATATTTGAAGTGTTGTCAGTACAACGAAGAGAACAACGCCAAAAATCGGTGTTGCCTACACCGTGTTTTTAAAATTTGCAAATGTGAAAGACTTTTGTTTGTGGCTTTTTGAATAAAAGTGATGTTTCACATCCCTGGATTTACTTCCTGTTTTCAGTCGAAGTCCACAGAAGTCGGTTGTCGTGTTCCCGCGATCATTGGTAACTAAGCATTGTTAGTTGAACTCGACAATCGACTACTGTGGACTTCGACCGAAAACATTATTCACATCTACTGCAGTCAGATTCACTGTGAATAAAATCAATTGCATGGCTTGTAATGACACATCAAGGATGTTAAGAGGCTTAATTGCCCTAATTAACTCAACAGTTTTTAAATTTTAAAAAGAGGATAAGACGGTGTAGGAAACACCGATTTTTGTCGCTGTTCTCAGTACTGACAGCACTTCAAATTTACAAAAAAATTAGCTCAATGTTAAAATTGACCGGAGTTCTCCTTTAATTCCAATTAAAATATTTAAATAAAACATTTAGCTGACTTGATTATTCGTTTTACTTTCTTTATTTTTCTTTACTCTTCATTTGGATACCAATGTCACCGTTTAACATGGATCCCACGAGGGACACTCTTGCTCTCTCTAAAAGTATTTTATTTAAACTCCTTAGATCTGTATGTACTTCTCTGTATATCTATAGTCAGAGGTCATAACCACTACTACAGATAAAAGCTGACCAACATTATTTTCTCTGATAGTAGCTTTGGTTTGGTCATGTCATGGTTTCCTACATACACTTAACTAACGTAACATTACATTAAACAGAGGTAAGACTCACCCTATTTAGCTTGGTCGTGCAACATTTGTCCTAAACGGAAATTTCCTTAATTTGCCTTTACAGTCTAAGTACACTTGAATTAGTGCCAGGTGATAGCCGGATCTCTAAAAGCTCAGTTGATGTGCCCTAAGCTCCACTCAAAACTGGACTTTAGCCCGTTACTAACCTGATTTGGGGTAACAATGGATAAAACATAATCTACTAGAGTTCATAATTTCAAGTAAGGGGGCTTTTACACTGGGCTGGTTTGCTGCTGTCTGAGCCAGAGCGTGTTTGTTCCTGGCGCCCCCTGCAGCATTGGTCTGGTTTCACACTCAACTTGATTCTATTGAACCCTGGTGCGTTTGCGTGCATCTTACGTCATCACAAACATGCACACCACATGATAGAAAGCAGAAGGTGGGTTAATATTGTGTTTTTTAAAATTAATTTGCTGCTATTATGCGCATACAGGTTTACTGTGCGTGCGTCACATAAGGTGGACTTCTGCTGCTTGCAAATAGACTCTTTTGAGGAGACAGTGGATTTCCAAATGCGTTGCTCTGATTCCATGCGCAATGCTCGAATACACTGCAGGCTCACTCTCGCTGAATACATCACAATAAGCTAAAACACATGCGCAGGATACTTTACTTCCTGAACAAGTGCGCACCCGAATCCGTGTTGTTTTCACAGTCACGCGAACTGCGGTACGGTTCAGAAGCAACCGAACTCAGACCACCTCCTCCAGGTAGTCCTGGGTTCGGTAGTGCGCCCCAGTGTGCACCCGGGTCCGCATGACAGCGTTCACATTAGCGATTTTTCATGCGAACCGTGCCCCGTTCCAAACTAAACTGCCAGTGTGAAAGCCCCCTAAGTCAGGATTTATTAGTCAGGTAAATGTATCATCCCATTATCATAATCAATTTAAAGATGGTCAATACAAAACATCAAATTCTCAGAAATTAAGAGTAAAAGATGCATATCTGACCTCTGAAAAATATATGTCTGGAGGATGGGCTAGTCTGAGGTTCTTTTTGCTTCACAATACAATGAATATATAATGTTTTGATAAATAAACTGGAAGGTTTGTTTATAGAAAATCTATTTTATAATCTAGTCTTGATTTACTATGAATTTGAACAGGTCAATTTCAGATTCAGAAAGAAGAATGTCTCAAACCGTCACACCCGTGAACTCTTCAACACTTGTCATCCAGTTTCAACCACCAACACAAACACCAGCAGCTGGAACTGGGACAAATGGACGAACTGCAGCTCCTGTGCCTGTTTATGTACAACAGCTAGCAGGAGTTTCACCTCTTCGTGGAGTTCAGCCATTTCTGAAAGGCCAGCCAAAAGCCCTTGGGGTGAGAAATTGTTCATAAACCCAAATAATCGATTTTTGTGCATATGTGTGAGGTAAGGAAATTACATAAAGTCTAAAAAGGAGTGGTGCCCACATGAACAAAGCATTTTTTATTGAAGAATGTGACAATGACTTGATAACATGGGAAAGACTTAATAGAAGACAAGGTTCATCATTAACAGTGTAAAATCGTGTCACAGAGAAGACGGAAGTAATTAACAGATTTTGCTAGTACCGAAATAAATAAGTGATGCAATGAGAGAGTACCTATATATTTTTGTAGAAAAAAGCATGATCAATAATTACAGCTATTATGAATTTATTTTCAACATTTTATATTGTTCCAACAAATGAATATCGTTTTACTTTACTCTTGTCCTCTATAGACTGTCCAGATAATGATTGCTGTGTTGACTCTCCTGTTGGGAATCGTGTCTTCATTTTATACAGATTCCATCTTTGACTTTTTTGGCATTTCTTACTGGGGATCGATCATTGTAAGAAACAATTATTCAATTAAATGTTGTGTCTTTTATAACACAAGTTACATTTTCCAACAGAAGCCTTGATTTTTGTCTCTCTCTCTGCTCTCAGTACATCATCGCAGGCTCACTCTGCATTGCTGCAGAAAACTATCAGAATTCACCCTCCAGTTTGTGTTTGGTATGTACACAACACTTGTTATTTTTAGGGGTTTAAACACTAGAGGTACTGGAACTCTATTGTGTTCACACTAATTTTCTGTAATGATTTCATCTTCCTTCATTTTCTGTCAAAAAAAGTGTATGGGCATCATTGACCGTAATTCATAAAGACCCCAAACTTATCAGCGTCAGGGTTCTAATGATTTGCCTTGTGTTTTGTATGTTCTTATGGATAAAGTGAATAGTTTGATCCCATTTGTTTCTGTGCAAAAGCCAAATTAGACGAGAAACACACAAGACGTGATTGGCAAACAAGACACACCTGGGGACAACCTGGAACTAATCAGGGTAACTAAGGTAACAAACAAGGCAGGCAAGGCAACAAGGGAAACAGGAATTAAACACAGAAACAAATGGGGAAATTTCAACAGAAAAATTTCATCAGAAAAATTCATACAAAACAAAAGACACCAGTTCTCCAAAAGACACAGACACACCAGGTCTCATCTACTCAGTTGCACAAACACACATCTGCAACAGCTCTGGTGGACATTCCTGCCAATTGCACGCTCCCTCAAAACTTGCGAAATCTGTGGTATTGTGCTGTGTGATAAAAGGTTATATTTTAGGCCCTGTTTACACGACAACGCTCGCAGTTGAAAACGTTAAAATACTTTATTGGATGTGCCTTTCATTTACACGGCGACGGCGTTTTTGAGGCTTAAAAACGCAAAAAAGTGAAACCACCCTCCAAAGTGGAAATCTTAAAAACGCTCCACCGCCGCGTTCCAGTGTAAACGGTAAAAACACAAAAGTTTGCTTGACAGTGAAGGTTGTATGCAGGCGCGTGGACTTGGTGTTGTTGTAGTATGCACTCCTAGCCGCCTGAAGTGCATACTACATTGAATTTCACACACTTTTGCGTCTCCATCTGCACGCGGATTTCCCACACAAAACGCTCGTCTAAACGCAGAATAAAAATTGATGACGCACCGCCACTTTCTTTTCAGAATCGTTTCCGTGTAAACATAGCCTTAGAGTGGCCTTTTATTGTGGCCAGCCTAAGGCACACCTGTGCAATAATCATGTTGTCTAATCAGCATCTGATTTTTTTAACAATATTTGAGAGAAATAGACCTTTTGTGTACAAAGAAAGTGTTCGATCTTTGAGTTCGTCTCATGAAAAATGTTGGCAAAAACAAAAGTGTTTTGCGGTTTTAATTTTGTTCAGTGTATATAGCCCTGTATTTACACTTGGCATTAACATGTGATCACTGTGATCTCATCAAGCAGATGGGATCACAGTCCAGTCAGGACACGGTGCATTTACACCTGTCCATATCAAGTGGCTTCTGTATCTGGATAACAGATCGGATCTCGCATTCCTGCAAAAAAAAGTACATATAGTTTTCAGCCCGGGGACATTTTACAAATCTTCCAAAATGAGGAGGATGAAGAGGCTGCAAGTTCTAATAATGTGGATATATGCCATAATGCAAATGGTACCGAGAAACGTATGGGTCCGAGAACGTTGCCAGCTGTAGTGGGGAAAATGCGTGTTCTTTACAGAAAATTAATGGTTCTGCACCTTTCGGGTGTGAAGTGTTGCCAACTATTTTCAAATGAAAGTAGCTAACGCCTTCCCTAAAAGTCGCTAAATGTCAATGTTAATTAGCACATTCATGACGTCATCGCGTCGTACTTGCGTTCCGCTTGCCTAATGTGTTTTCTCTATAAATTAATGCTCAGCTCACATATTGTATTTAATATATTATAATATAATATAGACAAATGTAAAATAAAGCTGTTCTCATTTCCTATATATTTTTGTCACACAAAACGAGTGATATATTATAGTGAATGACAAAAAAAGTAATACAGCAAGCACAAGAAAAGAAAGGAAACTAATTTGTTTAAATAAAAAACATTATTATTTCAAGAAAGCAGATAAGTGATAGGTCCGTGGGAAAACACTGCTCATTCACCTCTGTCAGTGGCGTTCAACAGATGATCTGCTCCTCTCAGCCATTCACTAAACAGGGTAGACGTAACTAGAGTGAATGAAAGCAAAGGGAGAAAAGCAAAAAGTCTGGGTCTGAAAAGTCGCTAAAAATAGCGACTCATTTGCGCGATTGTTTTGCAGTTTGTACGCGGATGAGAACTGGGCCACCTGTGAGTGATTTGGGACAGGGTGGGACCCACGGCAGCACCCGCTGCTCGTTGAGATGAGGAAAAACGATATGTGATTTCACATCAGAGTCTCCAAAAGTCTCTAATAACACTAGAAAAAGTCGCTAGATTTGTCGCTAGTCGCTTTTTTGAAAATTTGTCGCTAGGGGGGTCTGAATACTCGCTAAATATAGCGACAAAGTTGCTAAGTTGGCAACACTGGAAGGAAAACTTTTCAGTAAATTTGTGATGTAGCCAATGTAGATTTGATCAGTGTAGATTTATCAATAACGACACAATGCAGACTAGGTAGCTGAACGTGTTCCTTGCAGTTCGCAGACTTCTTTAACAGATCATTTCATTTTATCCAGTCAATTGAGTCAATTGAGTGCATATGTTTTTATGCACATTTTTTGCATTTATGCACATCTTGGCATTTCCATCCAGCGTTTTTTTTGTTTGTTTTTTTTATGTGATATAAAATATGTGATATTTTATGTGCAGAAAATAATTGGTGGATGGAATCATAGCTAATGAAGACTGACTGGACTTTGTTGTAAAAAAATTAAAAAATCATTAATTCTTAAATGATACATTTCAATCATAGCCCTTAATCATACACATGAGCCATTGGTGCTTGAACTGATCATTGATTTTTGGAGGTATATTTTATTTATTTATGACATTTATTTCTATCACACTCTATAAACCTTGCCTATGTTACAAACTAAAGTTCTTACTACTTTATTGATCTATTTTTTTTTCTACTTATAGGTGAAAGGTTCACTTGGCATGAACATTTTCAGTGCAATAACTGCAGGCATTTCCTTTATCATAAATTCAATTGATTTGACTGTAGGGCCAATCTACATGTACAGATATTGCAATGGTTATGATTGTTATTATATGGAGGACCAGTACAAGGTATGTCACAAACTTTTATATTCACATTTATTTAGTCATTACAATAAGTTCACTGTGGTCAGAACAGTTGTCAAAAGTCAAGTCTTAATCTGCTCTCATCTATCCAGTCTTTTTTCCAACATTTCAGAAGTAGTTTATAGATCTCTTGCTATTACTGACCATTTACAATGCAAAGCATTATACATTAATTTATAAATATGTTGTATTGATAAATGAACCTCAAGTATGATAGATTATGAACTTCTGAATGCTAATCATGAATTATTTTGTCATTATTATTTGTGCTAATGTTGAATTCTCTCTCAGACTCTCTTCCGGGGAATCAGTGGTGTGTTGTTGATATTCGCCTTCCTTCAGTTTATCATCTCCATCTGTCTGTCAGGATTTGCTTGTAAAGTCGCCTGCTGTTCTCCACAGGTGAGTGATGTGTCAAGTTTTTCAGTTGATAAATTAAAAAGTGAAATTTAAGATATCCAAATGAAAGCATAAGTTTCCTCACCAGGAAATGTCAGAAGGATTTCTTTTTTCTTTTTTTTTTTTTTACTTCTTAGTAGTACATTGATGTCCATAAACCTGTAATACTGAAACTGTCTGCCAGTGTCATTGCATATGTGGAGGTTCACAGTGAGAAGACTTAAACTCTACATGTGTATTTTTCCAAAGGTGCCGTTAGTTCCACAAGTTTTGACTCAATATCCCTGTTGTTTTGGGCACAATCATTTCCAAGATCTTAACAACTCAGAGGTAAGAGGAGCTTGTAATCCCTGTTTAATTAGATTAAAACGGTTAAAAAAAAGTTCCACAAAACAAATGAATTACTTGAAAATAGTATATATATATATTAATATATTATATTAATAATATCAATAAATAAGTAATCTGTAAGCAAGGACGCTGATCATATAGCTGATTTTTTTCTTCTTTTAGATACCTGTGGTCAGCAACCCTGCCATGCATCGCCTTCCTGCAGAAATTCCTCCACAATACAGTGAATCTAAATAAATATGAATATTAAAAGTCGACATAGTTTAGGTGGTACACAAGGGTTTTTCCAGTAATTTCCTGTCCATTATCTATAATGAATTTAAAAAGAGAACATGACAGAAACAAAACATTGATAATAATTACAGATTTTATAAGTCACAAATGTGTTAACAACAGGGGGTGTAATGGAACAGAAGTCACTATAAAGTTGATAGTTAGTTCTCACTATTAACTAACCTTCAACTTTAGTTACTAATTATTGCTAGTAATTATTACGAATATTAAATTAGTTTTAATATATTAGTAAGGATGTTAAATTTAGGTATCGGTTAGTATTTTAAGGATGCGGAATAAAGCACTGATATGTGCTTTATAATACTCATAAACAGCCAATATCCTAGTAATATGCAGGGGTGTAAAGTAACGAATTACAAATACTCACGTTACTGTAATTAAGTAGTTTTTTTTAGAAATTGTACTTTTTTGAGTAAGTTTAAAATTGTGTAATTTTACTTTTACTTGAGTACATTTTAAGTGATGTATCGGTACTTTTTCTCCGCTATTTTCCTTCTGTTTGTGGCCGTTACTCGTTACATGCTTGTTTTAATTTTATTTTTATCCATCAACGTGATTGGATCGAGTAATCGGTCTCGTGACTGTCATCAATTCAAATTAAGCATCGAAAACTTACCGCCTATTCCTGCTGTTACTCGTGACTGCGGTGGAAGTGCATTCATCACGCATCAATTCAATCCAGATATCAGCGTCTTCCTCTAATATGCTAAGGTACATTTCACATTTCTGCTTAATATGATATTTATATAGGCTGGCCTGTCTACATGGCCTAACATTTGGTCTGAGGTTGGGGGAATTGCGAGACGAGTTCATAATGCGGTGAATTCCCGCTCCCATTTACTTCACAATCACAGGAGAGACGCGCGTCACGATCTGTGCACTGCTGCATCTCGCGCTCGCCATGCCGGCAGATTCAGAATCAGTGCACCATGTCGTTAACTTGAACTGCATTACTTAATAAGAAATTAGCACAGCTCGTTAATAAACAGCGTTTTTTGATTGATTATGCGATCCGTCTTCATTTGGCAAGTGCACTTGCGCAAAAACATTTTCCATGCTGAACTTTTTTTTTTTTGTGTGGATGCTGCTGAAAAAACGGCTTCGCCGAGACTTCAGAGACAAAGTGTGTTTGTTTCTTTTGTAAAAGTTTCCTGGATATAACTTCCCTATTTAATGCACAATTGTCCTTTCAAATTATATTATCAGCATTACAATGTGAGTAAATGTAGCCGTGTAAAATGTAAGGGATGATGCCACCCTTCTAGAACAATTGCATTTACGTTTAAATTGTAACATATTTAATAGCATGTAATTAAAGTGTGTAATTACAGTTAGCTCACTATCTTAGCCTTTTTCAGTGCATTAGTTGAGGTAGTATGATAATATTAGTGATTCTCATTTATCAAAACACTAACATTGGTACCGTTTTGGAGAGAAATTGGGTATTTTTTTATTTTATTCAACCCATCTCTTGGTGTGTGATGCTGAACTATCATATGAGTTTCTAAAGGTTTTTGAATTATTTGCACAGTTATGAATATTGATATTTTATGTGCAACAATAACATGCTCAGGCCCAGTGGCTTTTCGCCTAATTTTAAATGCTTTTCCCCCCAAATAATATGATTTAAATGGTGATGAGTGTACTGATTTGATGCATTTTAAAAAGATGGATGATATATATTCAATCTTTCTTACAAAGAACAAAGTATAATGTGAATTCCAGTATGTGCATTTTTAAACTTATAAATTGTAGTGCACAGTGTTTATTATAAGGGTTAGAATCCGCACCTCAGTACTCACTACTCACTACTCTTGAGTACTTTTAAATAAGCTACTTTTTTACTTTTACTCAAGTAGTTTTTTGGACAAGTACTTTTTACTCTACTCACACTACATTTTTTGGAATGTAATGGTACTTTTACTTGAGTATGTTTTTTCAGTACTCTTTCCACCACTGGTAATATGCATGCTAATAAGCAGTAGTGAGAATTGGACCCCAAACTAAAGTGTTATGAAAAAAGCAACACATCCAAAATGGTAGTTGTATTTGATTTGATTGTGAAAAGACAGTTGTGGAAATTACAGTTTGTTCCACCTAGCAGCATATAGTCCCCCTGAGGTAGTAAACAGAATGCACTCTTGCGGGGATGATAAAAAAAACAAATGGTATTTGGTCCCAAACAGCTACAAAACATCTTGTGTGATGAAAGTGCAAAATAAATAGAATAATGAAAAATAAATCTAGTGTTACAATTTGCTCCACTTAGAAAAGACATCCTATACTTAATTCCCACTCTGTTTCGCACACAGTTACAAGTGTAAACCTTTCAAAGTATACTCCTCTGTCCCTGTGCTCAGAAAGATACTATTTTAAGCGGTCATTCACACATGCACTGTCCTTTTCTTCTTGTTTTCCTATTGTGGTGTTTAGCAAACATTGTTGCATTACCACATACATGCCCCCTTCTGAATTGGAGTGTGGATTATTTGTGACTGACTATATTTGTCATCTGACTCTTTGCCCTGATTTGTGACGGTTCGAGATACATTACCGTTACACCCTTAGTAAACAATAACTATTCAATACTAGATACTAGTTCATGATTTTAAGCCAAGGAATTTACTGAAGCAATTAGTTCAAAACAATCTATCCAGTTTCACTTATAATTAAACTGTAAGAATAAAATATACAGAATTTTAAAAAAGCCTTATCCATGTCTTTTTTTGTGTGTGTAAGATACTTAAAATGAATTCTTATTTTGAAAAACAGCCTGGCAGGTGAATATCAGTCTCCTGGAGGAAACACAAACAGTTATAATTAAAATTTGATTAAAACAAAATAGCCTTCCTACAAAAAATAAAAAAATGTAAACAGATATACATAAAATATTAGGGATATCCCATGGCGATTCTAAATTATCAGGTCAATCAAGGTAAGTTTGAACTGCTCAATAGACCTTTTTCACAAAAACCGGAAATACGTAATCGTTGTGGAAACGGAGTTCCCGTCAACTGTCGACACATCAGAAAAACCTACTCTGGGAGGAGAAAATTGATCAGAGAGTCTTCAAAACTTCGAAAAAATGTAAACTTGTCATGGTCCAGTTGTTGATGACTTTGTAAAATGCTGTGGTGATGCTTGTCTGCAGCTGATTTATCTAAGACCAAAGATATGATATTGATTTCAGAACTGAAGCTCATTCTTCCCAATATACGTTCAATATACGTGGAGTGTGTGGAAAGTTATTAATATTTAGGGAGTATTATTTACAATAAACTGCATTTTGATGTGAATACCAGAAAGAAGTCTGTCAGTTTTATTCAACAGTTATCCTCTAGGTAATGAATTTTTTGCACTGCTGTTGCTATAGAACGATCAAAGATGAAGAACAACAAATATTAATTTATCCCTTGTACACTCAAGATTGTTAAATACTCAGAATGGTATATATTAATATTTAAAATGTATATGTAGCCCACTGTTGTGTGTTCTTATTTATCTTGTTTTAGCCTATATTGTGGTGTATGTTTTATGTGCTTATTCCGCTGGATACAAATATCTTAATAAAGTTGAACATGAACTAACGTTACTTCAAAAATACGCAAATCATAAAACATAAAAAATAAACATAAACAATGACGGCTTATTAGTGAATGGTGACATGAGAAGTACAGAAGATCACAGGATCAATAACATCCCGCCAGATTGCCTGAATCCATGTCCGTCGAACTTCATCGACAGGGAACTGACGAGGGAAGGAATGAAAACGACAGGTATGGCTGCTTTTGGGAATAACAAAAAAGATCGGTACGCAACAACTCTCACTAGTTGCCTGCGGCGCTATGTGTTATGAATGGAGCGGAAGAAGATTACCACGACAATTGGTCACAAATACGGAAGTTGTGAGAAAGGTCTATAAAGGGTGCTCCTTTATTTTATGCCAGCCATTGTGCCATTGTGTCGTATACAAAGATCACAATTTGTGGCAGAAATGCGCAGGTAAATATCTGCAATGTGGAATTATTTTCTATTGAAAGCAGTGCAACAGCTACTTGAAATATCAATGCGAGCATTAATGACAACCGATGGGTCCATGTCATTTTGCGTAAAAATGCAAGAAATATGCAAAAAACCCATAGATGGGTATGGCAGTAACAAACATGGACTTCATCACGCACAAAACGGCAACAAAAACAAACTTGGCTTACCCGCACCACAAAACATTACAAACAGTGTTCCAGCCAATCACTGACAAGAAGTATTTGAGGGTGGGTCTAGGGGGTTAGTGCACGTGCACATGAAGGGTGTGTGTGAAGGAGAGAGAAGCATCAAGAGGGAAGTTTGAATAATGGCCGACAAACGACCAAAGAGATGACGTTCCGATGACCAACTTACAAAGAAGAGGGAAAAGGATAAAGAACGCACAAAGTACCAAATTTACATCGTTAAAGCATTCGAAAGATGGCGAGAACTCCACAGGTAAAAGGGCTTCCAGTCTGACATTCAGCTGTTTTTGCTGGACAGGTGGGTAACGTAAAATTCTTTATTTTTGTTCTAAGTTGACGCTTATGTTCGCCAAACCCACACAAGGATATAATTAGCTTTAAGTTTTACTAACATTTTTAAAGAACAAAATTTATTCAATTTACTCACACAGATCATAAAGGAGTTGGTTGAGCCATCATTACAGCAGCAGCGTTAGCATGTGAGCTACTTTCCCTTTAAGAAATGCACGTTCACAACTGTTTCAGGAAGCGGGGAAGGAGACGAGATGCGGAGGAGGGAGGGTCTAGCTAGCCTCTGTTTTGTTTGACAATAGTTCGAACATCAACAAGAAGTGACGTCACCCAGGATCGCTTAGAGAACCTTTAAACCAGGGGTCTCAAACTCAAATTAACTGGGGGCCGCTGGAGATAGAGTCTGGGTCAGGCCGGGCCGCATCAAGTATTCCAAAAAAATAAAATAAAAATCTATTAAACTATTCCAAAAATGGAGCACAACTGATCCAATCTTCTCAATCTTTATTATTAACGCTTCTTCTGAACTGTTCCTCTGAATTTGAACATTCCTTTCTGTACATGATTGGTTCTTCATGAGCTGTCCTTCTGACAGTTGAAGTTCATTTTACAAACTTTCTTTGTCTTTTTCTTATACACAACATCTTTGTGATATATTTGCTTTTTATTTTCTTTATACAACACTATTATATTGAATGTTTTTAGCAAACCTTCTTATCAACCGTTTGGACCAAGTTCATTACATGAACTAGTTAAAAATTCAGTTCAGAAATTTTAAAATTAACTAGTTCATAGATTTTTTG